TGTATGGAGACAACAAATTACTGGAAGATAGTCTACGGGCTTGATATAGAAACAAAGCCAACTTTACAACATTCTATTTCAAGTTCTAAAAACTTTTCACTGAAATTCAATACAACAACATTTCAGTCAATATGTCTACTTGATAACATCACCTGTGGCAGATTTAAATTTTGACTGGATATCTTTTAAAATCCACGTCGCTTCAGTCCAAAAATAATCTTTCAAAAACAAATGCGGGAAATTAAGTGTTTTGTAAACTCTTACCCGACAGACTTTCTCTAGACGGCTGCAGCCTCCGTCAGGTGGCTGCTACATTTCAGTTAGGATCAAACAACTTTTCACACAATTTTGATGGCATGAGACAACTCCGAACATGTGTCTGTTGTTTTGTTTGTGTTCTTATGACACATCATCGGGGCCAGTCCAGCCCAGGAAAATGTTTTTGATGGCGTATAATACGGATATATCACAGTCGTTTGTAGAGTTATTTTACTGAAGAGGTCAGGATATAATAATAATAATAATAATAATAATAATAATAATAATAATCTTTATTTAAAGTTTTCAATCCAATTCCGTTCAATAGACTTTACAATGATGATGATATTGGCAAAAAGCATATTTTTTAAAGATTAATATTCATAATCAACACACACATAATACCAAATCATATCAAGAACAGTTAAATCCTGATTTCATAATTCAGTGATATGATGAGGAATAACATCTTCGTGATAAAATATGTCTTAGTTTGAATATCGGATATTTTTGGGGGATTGAAGTTTCACACCAGTTGAATTTTCCCTGTGCGTGTGGTGACATGCCGTGGCCTTCATATGTGTTCGACATCAACAGTTTTTGCTATTCGCGTGACAAACAGAGGGGATAATGATTATTGTTTTTCCACTCCGCTTTTAAAGACACCTTATACCATATACGTCTTTAATTAACTGTTTTGAGAAATCTCAAATCTTTCTTCTATTGATTGCCGATACCGTTTAGCCACGCCATTTCAGACCGACTGCCGTCTCCCTCTATTCTGCCACCGGTCCTTTCTGTAGTTTGTGTTCTAAGGTGGGAGCCCTGCCCCTCTCCCGGACACGTCAATCTCTCTCCGAGTCCCACGATGCCTGTACGCGCGCCACGCAGGGCTGGCACGGTGCGTTACTCGCGCCATTCGCACGCGATTTTACCCTAATATTACACCCCGTCGCACGTGCAAACCAATCAGCCGGCTAGTGTGGGGCGGAGAAAGGTCCCTATTCATTCGAATAAATGCGTTAAGATTTGATTGCTTTTGAATCCTTGGAGGATCTCTGCTTCGTCTTTTCCGCTATCCATTACTCAGCACGGGGCCGGTAAGCAATACACCCAGGCCCTGATAGAGGATGGTGTTGAAAGTCCTCCGCAAGGGCGTTAACGTCGCCCGTGGCGTTTTAAACAGTCCCCGAACTTTGTGTACTTGTGGAGACAGGGAGAGGCTGGGATACACGGCATGTCATACTCAAGATGTGGAACTGAAATAAACGACAGGCATCTCAAACTGCCACTGGGGATTTGTGATGGGGAGTAGTTAAGTCCACAGCCGCACGGAATATCCATGTACGCGTTCATGTGTGTGTGTGTGTGTGTGTGTGTGTGTGTGTGTGTGTGTGTGAGAAAGAGAGAGAGAGAGAGAGAGAGAGAGAGAGAGAGAGAAAGGATTGCACAAAAATTGAATTTACATTTTCATACGCAAATTTCAAATGTCATTCATAAAGTCATGAAAATTAGTAGCGGAGGCTAGAAATATTCAAACACCACGTATATAAACTTCCACGCGAATTAACAAAAGATAAACATTATTTGGACAGGGAAGGTGCAGAAAAATATTGTTTTTAAACTATTCAAAGAAAAGTAAATAAATGATACAAATGTTTACATACTGAATTGATCATTCCTTCCCTGATTATTAATGTTCACACGTTGTCTCTTGAATCAGGAGCAGTCGGGCCTTAACTACACAAACCAATTCTTCTGGACTTATCTGAAGACAAGTAATGCAGTCAGTCATTTTTAAAAGATAAATGCTGTGAATTAATGATGCAAAAATTGCGGGATACTTACAGGAAAGAAGGACCAAAGGCTGGTAGGACGGTGAAAAATAACGATTACCCTAGGAATATTGTAAAGTATAAGTTTTTCGCGAGAAAAGAAATTACACTGTGCACCTTGAATTATCTCAGTACAGTAGGTGCGTTCGACTTTTAGAGGACTTTATTGGAAACAAGGAACAACCATTTTGCGCAGAAATTTGTCCAAATAAAACAATACAGTAAAATTAAAGATTAAAACAAAAAATGTACAACTGGCAAAAGCGTGTTAAACCCCCTTTACACTGTACAGCGTCCTTTGCGACCATGAAACTGGCATCCCTGTGATCGCAGAGAGGAGACACAAGCATCGCTTTGGTTGCAGAATAAATACTCAATGATCTGCCAGTCGGCACGTTAAGAAGTTTTTTCTCTCAGAAAGGACGCCGTCCAGTGCAAAGGGAGTTTTAACAAATCAGTGCTGTTGTTGTAGCTGTAGCAAACAGGAGACAGGTAGACTAGCGTGGGGAGTCAACAGGACTCGCGCCGCGTGCGTGCAGCTCCGGTCGATCGCCACCTTGTTTCCCAAGGAATTACAAGCTTCGTTTCAACAGAAATAGAACAAAATTACTGACTAATCATCTGAGAGGGTGCCGCCAACATCGGTTCGGTTGTAACAATTTCATAAAACACTGTGATAGCTCTGTGTTCAGTGAAAATATAACGTGAAATAGATTTTAATCTCGCGACGGAGATAAAACTGAAGTGAATAGTGACACGCACACTCTTCCATTTAGAAACATAAAAATATCATTTTTCCTTTACATCTTTTTACGCCCATAATGTTACACATTAGCACGTTTGTTTGCGTTTGCATGTTTCTATGTGTACAAAGGTGCTTCACAAAAATGAATTTTATTCCAATTTCTGGTGGTAGACAGGAGATATACCCCCTGTCCTGTCCACCAAAAGTAGAGCTTACGCCGCGGTACCCAGGGCTATGGCCGCATTCACAGCCAAAGTTGATCTGCGGTCTAACAGATCCGAGGACCCAATTTGACCGCCCCACTTGACAGCTTACCGCATTATCCCCGAGGGAATCTATTTAGTGTGTATGAGGGGATCCCGCGACAAGCTATCAAGTGGGTCGGCCATAGCTGATAAGTCGGATCTGTTTGTCTGTGATCAACTTAATCTGAATGCTCCCTAAGACCCCATTCCCATAGATTTTAGATCGATCTATCCCTGTGGGGAGTCTCACTAGATTACTGTCAGCTAAGCCGGCTTTATCGTGTGTCCCACCTACTAAAAGCTGTAAGGGGGTAATTAACTATGGTGCGCGCTCAGCTGACTGCAATTTAGCGTAAACCCCCAGGGAGTTAGGTCGATCTAAATCTAAATCTCTGGACCGATCTAAATCTCTGGGAACGCACCCTAAGCTTCACCTGAGTTTCTAAAAACAGCAGAGGCATGCTGACAGTAGGGAAGCGAGTGTCCACTGAGGCCAGGCGCTATTTGCTGGGACGTGCGCGTATGCTCTGTCCGATTTTTGTATTTCGTATTAAGACATTTTTTTCTTAAAGAAGTGCGCAACGCCTGGCAAAAGTTGAATAAATTAAGGCAATTGCGCAACGGATCAACGTACGAAATGACACACCTCGCGTGCGTAGCTGCAGTTGCCACGGGGACTTATTTTCAATGCGCGTGCAAAAGGCTTGCCCGTTTGAGCGCCCCCTCAAGGACGTCACCCTGGAGACCTACACTGTAGAGGTCATGAAACAGCGGGTCACGCGCTGGCATGAAGATGTGGATAAATATCACGGTCTTTTTATGCGAGCTAACAGTTTTTATTCCAATATCCACGATTGCAGTTACATAATTACAAGTTTAACACGTAGAAAATGCATTAGGATGGGAACGTGCTTGTCTGCACGTCTCTAAACTGTACTAGGTCCGAGTTTTAAGAGATGGAGATCTTCCAGTTACGATTAACAAGATTCTTCAGGGTTCAGACCCCAGCTCGCTGTTAATGAAGTGCTTTATGAGGTTAAACAATACCTGAAATTAGCGGTAGAATAAGCACATACCCCTCTCCTCCTTTCAAAGAAAATTGCCAAGTGTATACATCATGGATAAGACGAGTTTCAATTCAGTAACACTTCAATTATAGGATCTTTTTCTGATATCGTTTCATTTTGATTCATACAAAGTGCTAGAAATTGAATTATAATTGCCAGCATATATTACAAAAGTAGAATTTAAGAAATATCATCATTCAAAAAAAAATGTTCATGCTTTGTTGATAAATAAAATGCAATTGAATATGTCACATCTCCAAATAATTTATAATTTATTTCATTAAAAAGGAACAGTCCTTAAAGTTCAGAATGTGACTATTAGTGTTGTCTGAGGTGAATTGAAACATCGATCAACTCAGGGAACACTCAATCATCACAATTCAAACTTGGTGTCAAAGAAAATGCTTGGGGGAAAAGCATGTTTCAAGATCAATCCACCAGTGGTGTCCATGTTTTAACCACGACTTTTCACAGTTGTCTAACATGTCTCTTATATCACTGAGATAGTGCAGAAAATTTCAGTCTTCTTTTCCTCTTTATGTCTTCTATGTAACAGTCCTTTTACAAAAGATGGCAGATGATGGTCAGTTTTAGCGACCAGTGTCAAGTGTTATAAAACACCATAGTTATATATGTTGTGAACTCCAGTGTTATGATACACAATAGTTATAAATGTTATGAACTCCAGTGTTTTAAAACACCATTGTTATATATGTTATGAACTCCAGTGTTATAAAACACCACTGTTATCTATGCCAAGAAGTCCAGTGCTATTTCCCTATCCTCTGCACCACCCAGTCCTCCTGACCCAGTGGGCACCTGTTGGTCATTCAGGCTGACCAGAGCCCAGTGTTATTTCCCTATCCTCTGTACCACCCAGTCCTGCTGACACAGAGGGCACCTGTTGTTCTGTTTCACCCATAGAGACATGCAGCAGTTGTGGAAGGAATGGTTGCACTCTCCCCATACAACTACAAAGAAGAACACATCAGTAAAGAATTTATTTAAAGAAAATTTCACAAGAAAAAATCTGACAATATTTTTCATGTTTTTAAGCAAATACAAATGCCACATAAAATATATTTTTAAAAACAGAAGCACTATAATCATATAAAATAACTTTCTCCTTAAACCTTACAAAAATCTAATTAATACAGATCCAGGCCTATGCCACACACTACTCACCAACACAGTCATCTTGTTTGTTTTCTGACTGACAACGCAGACATGCATCTAGAAATAAAGTGATATTACAATTAAGTTCATTCAAATAATAGGTAATATTTATTTATTTATTTATTTATACATATATGTTATGCATAAAGTTTCTGATATACTATATGGCTATGCTAACACAAGCAAGATAAAAGTAAACATAATAATAATGATGGACAGCTAAGTCTGGTATTGTACCCTGACTGGAAGCAAACTTTTAAATAATGACATGGGCCAAACAACTTCACTTTTACACATTTCTGTACAGTAGATTATTTCCTGGCAGGTGAAAATCGTGTGTCGTGACTAGACATACTTTATGTATTAACTGAACCCATTCCACAAAGGCAGAAGTAGGCCAGTAGCATTCTTCAAGGGGTTTATGACTTTACAAAGGCATAACTTGGACATGAAAAGAGCAATCCTACTTTATTTACAGTACTTCTTTTGAGCAATATGAATTTGAGGAGTAGAGTGGTAAGCAAAAATTTTGAGAGTTTCATGGAAATTTGTCAGATTTGTTTCTTTCACTTCTTTATTTGTAATCTGCCTACTGTATGTGTTTTTTTTTTTACAGGGACAATGAAGGTTTACATTTTTTGTTTCTTTCAATTCTATATTGGTCTGTCTAAACATATTTTTTTTCGGGACAATGGGAGTTTACATATTTGCCACCTTCACTTTCTAAATTGGTGGTATGACTAAATCATGCATTTTTGGAACAGTGAAATGGGGAGGGGGGAGAAAAGACAATTATTCTAATGTCCACAATAGATCTGAAACAAGTGTAAATATCCAGCTAGCAAACTGTACATTTACTAACTGCGTGTGTCAAACCGTAACCCACACAAAATGGGATTTCAACAATTACCGAACAAAGGCAATTTGCCATGTCTGCCAACTTCTGGTAAGGTTCGCTGGGTTTTTATGCCAAATAAACTCACCCATGACTTGGACGCGGCAAATTGCACATGTATCACATTCTACATCCCAGCTCCACATAGCCACAGCGTTCCACTTCTTCAGGGCGAACATTTTCTCTCCTTTTGACGCATTTTCTCTATCAACTTCCATATCTTCCGGTTCTTCGTCCGCCATCTTCGACATTTTGCATGACGGGATTGCTAGCTGACCTAATTCCAAATTGAGGTCAAGAACTGAGTGCAGCATGAGATGCTGGATGCTCGCTAACATCTTAAAAGGTGCAAAGTTCAGGTGACACCGGTATTCCGGTCTCATAGCTCCAATGTTGGGGGCTTTCGGCCGAATGTCTGCCGAAAAAGCTCTCCGAAGGGTGAAGTTTTTCAGGTCTACGATCGTTGATCAGCGTTACGCGGTGCTCCGATTCTGCAGTTGTGAGTTTTATAACTTCTTTTGACAGAACCGTTGATTACTCTCTATTACATCAGAATGCAATAATCTTTCACATTCTTTGCGTATTACAATTTTGTTTGTTTATATATTGTTGATTATAAGATTTGTTAAATAATGTCAAAAATATGATTCAAAATCCTCAAAAAAGTTGAAAGGTTAATTAGTGCTAGTATTTTCCAACATGCAAGTTTTCACATAAAACAAATGAATTAAAAAGATTAAAATTAACTTATAGATCCTCACAATAAAGTGTGGTGCATCTGGTGGCAATTCTGATATCTCTGTTGGTTTCTGATCAGTGATTGATATTACTTATATTGATTTATAAAATTATTTTTTTTATTATCCAGCTGAAAGCAGAGTCAGTATTGGAGATGTCAGTACAGTGATAGTGAAGCCAAAAAGACCAGAACTGGTCCCAGTGAAATACTGTAAGTACTGAAAATGACTAGAGGAAAACCTTTGAATAGTCAGACGTACCACAATGGAATGGATTTAAAAACCCGTAGTGTCAGAAGACTTACGACTGAATAAATGATGATGATTGTCAGCTACATAAGATGTTTAAAACAAATCAAACATTTTAAAGGAAAATTGACCCAAGAATATGCTCTAGAGTTGACACTTATTCTGGTGTTTGCAATGTTTTCAGTGCCTGAAGATGCCCCACAGTCTGTGATGAAACATCTGAGATGGATAATGCAAAAGGTAGTTTTGACTTTTTGCATCTCTTTAGTCCTCATTGTAAATATCTATGGTTAATTCCAACATGATGTCTCTGTAAAATTATGGATTCTTAATTTACGAAGAAATGACTAAAACTGCCTTTATATTAACCTGTATGTTGATTGTTATAGATGTATTTGTTGTTACCAGGTATAAAATGTTGTATTCACCTATTTCCAGGACTTACTGGGCCAGGATGTGTTCCTGATAGGACCTCCAGGGCCACACAGGAGAGCTGTAGCCATGATGTACCTGGTGAGTGATAGATAGTAACCCTTCTCCTCTCCCCTGCCCCCACCAGATCTTTCTCTTGGCCACATAGGAGAGCTGTCGCCCTGATATACCTGATGAGTGATAGCAAGTACCGCCCCCCCCCTCTCTCTCTCCTCCACCCCACCCCCTTCCTCCTAGACTACACAGGAGAGCTGTACCTGGTGAGTGCTAGAGAGTATCACTCACACCACCCCCACCCTCTACCCTTAGCGATACAGCCACAGACAAATGTATAGCCTTCAGGATTGAAAACTATGAAAAACGAGACAATCCTGCTGAATGATAGAAAATGTTGACAGAGTATATGTCAGGTGGTGACAGTTGCACACAGACAAATGGACATTCATGCAAATGCATCAACATGTACATTAAGGGACCATTCCCACAGATATTTAGATCGATCTATCTCCCTGGGAAGTCTCACTAAATTGCTATCAAGCTAACCAGCTTAAACGTCTGTCACGCCTAATAAAGCTGGTAGGGGGTATCTTCATCCCTAGCTGATTCGGTAGGCGTGACAGACATTTAAGCCTCTTGAACTGATAGCAATTTAGCATAAACCCCCAGGGAGTTAGGTCGAGTCAGATGGATCGATCTAAGTATGGGAACCCAGTCTAAGACATTTTGAATAAGTGTTGTAAAAACTATTGCGGATGTTGACGTAGATGTTATTATTTCAGGAACTGACCAATCGTGAGTGTGAGTATGTATCTCTATCCAGAGACACTACAGAGACAGATTTAAAACAGCGGAGGGAAATACGATCAGGGACAGCATATTACATCGACCAGGTGAGTTGTTCCTGCTGTTCCAGGATCACGTCCTGGGGACTGATTTGCTGCTAAGATTTCTAGTCTTATTCACCATATATTTGTAACTTGGAAATTGATGTAGTTTGTCTAAATTTTACAAAATAGTATTATCACTAAACTTTTAAATTTTCACAGCACTAAAGTACTTTTCATCCATTCCAAAATGACAACTCTGAAAATTTAGCATTCTGAATATTAAATGCTATATAGATTTTATTCCATAGCTAACTACTGTTGATAACTGTGTGTAAAATTTTTTCTGGTTTACCAGTATAAAAACATAAACCACTGTTACGCATATTTTAATGTTAAATTTGTTTTTAGTGTGCTGTCCGTGCGGCTACAGATGGTCGTATCCTGGTATTGGAAGGGATTGAGAAGGCAGAGAGAAATGTGTTGCCTGTATTAAACAACTTACTGGAGAACAGAGAGATGCAGCTGGACGATGGCCGCTTTCTTATGGCTGCTGACAGATATGATAAACTTCTAAAGGTCAGTTGTTAAAATGTTTGAGTAAAGCTATAAAATCTCACATAACATTTTCTACACATGCCAATCTTGTCATGTAAGGACACAAGTAATTAAAAAAGATCTAATCTTTTGGTTGAAAATGTGAAAATCTGATGAGTTTTAAGATGCAGATTCAATCTGAAATTTTAGCCTTCATAGAAAATATTCGCTCTGAAATAGGATTATTCTTCTATCAGTACGCAACCTATTTTTGACATGTTGACAAATTCTGCTTCCTGATGTAACAATAAAAAATTGTTCTCTTCATCAGGAGCACACACAAGAGGAGCTGGATGCTTGGAAACTGGTCCGTGTTGACGAGCGATTTCGCGTCATAGCCTTAGGACTTCCAGTGCCTCGGTACCAAGGCAACCCGCTAGATCCTCCACTTCGGTCACGCTTCCAGGCCCGCGATGTCCACCCCCTTCCCTTCAGTGAGCAGTTGGAGTCCCTGGGGGTGGCAGGAGGAGAGGTACCCCAGGAGAGGTATACAGTGAAGATAGCATTAGAGTAGTGGTTGGTTGTTGAAATACCTAAAAATTTTCATAGAAGCAATTTTGACAGTGACTTGTTTATTGGTAAATTTAACATGGATGAGATTTTTCCGACTACTGGCAGATTTCTGACTTTTTGGGAGCCAAAAATACCATTGGCTCAGGCAGCCCCCTGGACCAAATGCCATATTATTATTAGACTTTTTCTCTGAACTGCAGTCCAATTCCCACTAGTATTTCAGGATAAACTTAAAAGTTATAAAAACATGCATTTATATTATTTCAGGATCTCTCAAGTTTTAGGATTTGCCAGTACAATGACCAGCAGTGAGTCCAGCTCTCTTGGTCTCCCGGACTTCCCACTGTCCAGTCTGGACGGTGTGATACACATACTGGTCAGTAATTATAAAGACGGGCAGTGTCACTGGTCCTAGTCTGTGTCTTAACAGTATTCGGTCAACTGGTCACTTGCACTTGTTGACCTCTGGTCATGAGTTGTGTACAAATAGACTGTATGTGATAATTTTGATATGAGTTGCTGAGGTGAATGTTAGATATTACAATAGTTTAATACATTGTCTTGCCACATTGTTCTCATGAAGGCAGGGAATTAACTCCATAAGTGTGTATTTATAGTGCTATTTTCACACTCTGTATTTGACATAATTTTTTGCTCATATAAAAGATTGTAAATTACAATATGAATATGAAGACAATGAGTGAATAAATACTGTAACTGTTAATATGCTGTTTTTCAGAATGCTATGCCATCCAGTTCCCTACATAACTTAGTCAGCAGACTGTACCCGTATGAAGTGATGTTAGGAAAAGAGGGGAGGACTGCAGTGGCGGATACTTTCCAGGTAGAGCACGTGTGTGTGTGTGTGTGTGTGTGTGTGTGTGTGTGTGTGTGTGTGTGTGTGTGTGTTTGTGCACAAACTGGTATGCATAGGTATATGTGCCTGTGTGTGTTGTTTTTTACTGCTGAAAGTGTGTGTGGAGAGAGAAAGTACTTCTAAATGATTAAATTTTAATGTTCTTGGTATGATTTAAATGAATTGTAATAAAAGGTATGTCTTCTTTGATTTATAAGCTCTTTAGATTAGAAACATTAGGAGCTAATAATTTGATAAATATAAAACTTTGTGTTTAAAAAGGGTACTGCTGTTGGATTAAAGCTAGAAAAAAATACTTTATCATCCTTAAAAGCTAAAGGCCTAGATTTGCTTGGTATAAATCTAAAAAGTTTATGAGCAGGTGGGAAATGTGTTGAACAGGTCATTGTGTCTAATTCCTCCATCCAGCTGTCACTTTGTGCTTAGCCCCTCCCTCCAGCTGCCACTGTGTGTCTAACCCCTCCCTCCATCTGTCATTGTGTGTCTAACCCCTCCCTCCATCTGTCATTGTGTGTCTAACCCCTCCCTCCAGCTTTCACTTTGTGATTTCAGAGGTTTAATATACCGCTGCGCCAGAGTGATGTCAACCATGTCAGCAAGGTTACCCTCCATAACAACAACGCAGAGGCCCAAATCAGTGCAGGGGGTGTCAAATATAACATACAGGTAAGCAGGGGTTTCCCAAAATTTGGGGTACAGGGAGTCCAAATTACTGATCTCTAATTTGGTCACTTACTGACAGGGAGCCAAACCAAGTACCAACAGTAGACTGTGAGTGGGGGTTGGGGGGGGGGGGTAAGTTAATATGTCACCTAGGTTAGACAGGTAAGTATATCACCTGTAATGTAATTCATTTATGTAGTTATAATTTAAGTTGTCATGTAAAATTAACATGGAAATGAGTGTGTCACATGGAAAATGAAAAATCCACAAATTGCAGAATGTGCAAAGTATAATTTAGTTATTTGAGTATAACAGAAGCATTTTAAGGTATATTTACAGAAATACACTGTGACTTCTTGTTTTACTTCTCCTTTAGGTTCCCAAGGGTTACAAGACAGAGCAGCATGTCAGTGATCACTTCATCCAGACCCCATACCATGACTCTCTGCTGGCAGACATGCTACAGTCTCACATGGTGAAGGACTTTTGTGTCATAGGACCTAAGGTGAGAAAGATGGAAACATCCCATTGTACCATGTAATATAAATCACCATGATAAGCTTAAGACAATTAAGGTGAGATCGTTTCTGAGAGCAGTTTGATGTCATGCCTGTAATCAGGCCCACCTAACTACCAGACTCGGCACATAAGGATCCTGATTTAACAGGTATATCGGACCACACTACCCATTTTCAAGGTGTGTGTCAGATGGCATTTCGGAGTATCAGTCAGAACACCGACAGGATGAGCCCGCAGTCGTCTTACAAAAATTGTTCTGGAGTCTGGTAGTTGGGTAGGCCTGGTAATACTACTACTGTGATGTCATCCCTGTAATACTACTACTACTACTATCTATTAATAACTGCTATATGTCATCTTCTGCACCACATTAGATGGGATGTCTATAAATCGTGAAGTTTTTCTCATATTTCAGGGGTGTGGAAAGAGTGCACTGGTCAAGCAGTTTGGAGATCTCTTAGGTTACCATGTAGAACCCATCATGTTATATCAGGTATTTTATCCGACAGAAACTTAATGTTATTTTGTAAAATTTAGGATATTAGCTTTAGGCTGGATTATGATGATAACAGTGAAAATGATAATAGTAATTATTTTTGATAATGTAAGTGCTTTTNAGTTTATTAATGTCATGATATAGTTATTTATTTCTTACAACTCAAAGCAGTTAGATATTACACTACAGTTTCTGTTAAAGACAACAATTGACACAATGAGAGATGTTTGTCAATTGTTCAACTCTTCCAATTTCTGTTACTTTCACACAGGATATGACCTCACGTGACCTACTTCAGCAGAGGACCACACTGACCAATGGGGACACAGTGTGGCAACCTTCACCTCTGGTAGAGGCGGCACTGGGAGGGCAGCTAGCGGTACTGGACGGAGTTCACAGAATTAATCCAGGGACGTTTGCTGTATTACATAGGTAAGTACAGAGTGGAATAATGTTGTGATTTTACGAGTTTCTCATTTTGCATCATGAGAGATACTTGAAAATTTCATCACTTAAAAATTATTTATTATGTGAAAATGCCTGAATCTGACATGGCCATATATTAGGTGAAGATCTTTTCAAAATTATCCAGAGGCCCATTTTCGAGTTTAACAAAATTTTCTAAGTGAAAAAAATTATGTCAGCAAAGAATCGTTTTCTGAAAAAAATTTTTACTGATATCGAAGGGCAGTATATAATGCCCATTTTAAAAATGCTGTTGGTGCTCACACTGTAATGTAATATAATAGGATGGATCTCTGCACTTGACCACTTGACCGGCTGATAGGTAAGGACTCAGTATATGGAAGTAGATATATCAGTGTGTCAGGTTTCTATAATGGTTACTACAAAATAGACAACTACTGGTCAAATAGTGTTTATAAAGCACATTAGTCAGTTATAACTTACATTTTTTTTTTTTTTTTTTTTTTTTTTGAAGATTGGTCCATGACAGAGAGCTGAGCCTGTTCGACGGCACCAGACTCCTGCGTCAGGACAGGTATGACCAGGTCAAGCAGACCACTGGGATGACTGATGACCAGATGGCAGAGAAGTAAGTGGATATCAGATTAGGGATATTTTGACTGAATATAGGTAGATAAAATATCATTGGCACAGGTGGGCCTCAGGACCCCACACTGTATTAAAAAAAGGCAATCTCATTGCTGTCAGAGTAATAGTTATATATGTATGGTAATTAGAGACCAGCATATTATGCATATACTGAGATTCTGATGTTGTCATGTGTGTCTGTAATATTCATTTATTGGAGTTAACTGTATGTAATATCTTACATTTATTCTTGTTGTCTGCTTTGTCCACAAAAATTTTAATGTAATTATTGGTGAATAAATAAGGCTGTTCTACTCCTATTTTGACTGGTGAATAATTTGTTTGTTTTTTTATTGCATTGCTTCTGTTGTATTTTTAACATAATTGTCAGAGAGTTATTTTAGCCTTTTGTCCTTTTCAGGGCCATCTTTCCTATCCACCCAGCCTTCAGAATAGCCGCCCTGGCTGAGCCTCCACCAGTGGGCAGTTCCACTGGTCAGTGGCTGGGGTCCGAGTTACTGACCATGTTCTTATACCACCACATGAGGGCGCTGACGGCTGCAGAGGAGACCCTGCTTATTAAGAAGATAGTAAGTCACAGTTTGTTTTCAGTGCTCTACTGTGACCTGTGATGTATATTTGGTAACATTTTGTGTATGTTTGTGTTTCTTCCTTTCATGCTGGCTGTTTAAGTCTTGTTGCATAAAGAATTCAAACTTTTCTAGAGTGCTACTTAAAATTTGACTCCATTTAACATTTCAGACTTTTTTATATGAATTTGCTTGAAGTTCAATATTGAGCAGTGGAAACATTAACTTGCAGGTTTTACAGGCTTAAAATAATCTTAAGGTCAAATGTAGTGAAATAATAAACTCATATTATAAATATTTTATTATGAAAAAACATTAAGGGCATTTTTGAACAAGAACACTACCTTTATTTATCACATGGAGTATCCTGTAGAGATACAGAGTGCCAAACATTTATTTACTTGGCCAAATTTTGATCCCAATTATCTTATTTCTATTTATAACAGAATTTAATTTTGTGTCCTGTTCACCTGTAGGTGCCCCATGCTCCAGATATGACACCTCTGCTCAACCTTACACACCACCTCAGGAGCAGCACAGACGCCACAGTAAGTAACAGAAACATAGAGGGCGCTAGAAACCAAGAGATGTTTTTGACTTCTGTTGCACTTATTTAAAATCTTTCACAAACTTAATTGTAAGAAATATTTCACAGCCTTTGCCCAGCTCAACTTACCTCTGTATATAACTGTCAGACAAGACTGCCTGGAAGATTGAAATGTTAATTGGCTCTCAAAAAGTACATAGTTAATGTGACATTTCCTCCTCAGATGCAGTCTTTGTCCTCCTCCCTATCTACAAGGCAGCTGTTGCGGATAGCGCGGAGACAAGCACAGTTCCCCACTGGCTGTTTATATGATGCTGTACAGAAGGCCTGTCTAGCAAGGTCAGTGAATGTGAGATACTTGATGGACTCATGCTCATATTTTAAGATCTATCTGCAATTTAATTTCTGTACATTTATTAAATATCTGGAGTATGTGAAAGATTACATAGTTTTCTTATTTCTTAAAATCCTACAAAAAATTTATAGAAATTGTCAGATTGAGTGTCAATCCACAAGCATGAAATATTTGGCAAAAACTTCTAGAACCAGATATCTTAAGGAATATCTTTTGCAACTCTATTCTGTATATGTGTATAGTTACTGTAGTAATTTATGTTATTTTATGACCAGATTTCTCCCACGGCTGGCAAAGAACGCACTAGAGCAGGCTTTAGAGCAGTTTGGCATTGTTCCCATGGAAACCAGTCATAGCGTTGACAGCATCGAAAGGGCTGTCACATGTAAGTTGATGCTATCATGAATGTGCACTCATGCGTCCATGAGTACGAACAACACAAGCATGCATAAGAACACATGCCCTTGGTTGAAAATACCTAACAGGGTATAATTCTGTCGCATTTCAGTACACCTCACTCTCACACACACACAAACACACACACACACACACACACACGTATGTGCACACATACACATAGCTTTGAAGTATCTACATCCTTCTATTGCAGGTGAAATCAAGGAGGGAATGTTGAGGATAGGAGAGACAGAGGCAGAAGTGTTCAACCCAGAGAATAAGATGAAGGTGCCAGATGTGCTGTTCTATGAGAATGCTCAGGTATAGGAAGCTTTGGCACACCTAACATATTTAGCACATTGACTTTTAAATACTTTTGAAGTGTCCAAGGTTATGACTTTAAAAATTCCCCTGTATATAAATGCTTTTATGACATTAACGTTCTGATTTTATTTAGGATGCCATTAATATATGTGGATGTTACATCTGTCATGAAAACCATGTTATGAGCCTATATGTTATCTTTAATAAATGATAATGTTATGTCTCCAGCACCTGTCAATCATGGAGGCCATGTTACAAGACTACCTACTAGGAGAGCACCTGTTGCTGGTGGGAAACCAAGGTGTGGGGAAGAATAAGATAGTGGACAGGTTCCTCCATCTTCTGAACAAACCCAGGGAATACCTCCAGTTGCATAGGTATGGTTCAAAATGAAAATGTTTGTCTTTGAGGTCAAGTGGACTGTTTGCTATATTTGCTTTGAACTCGGACCCAACTACTAAGTACAATTACTTACAAAATGATGCCTGAGACAGCTTATTACTATAAGAAGTGATCAACAAATACTATTTAATTGTAAGAAATGACAATGAGTAATTTGAGCAGGTATCATTTGGTTGAGTGTGGTCCAAAGGGAACTGCTTATTACATAAACATTTGGGAAGGTCTGATTACAGAACCAATGTAGTAGTGATTTGTCTCTAATTACTTTATTACTTTTCAAAGTGATCAAATTGGCTAATATTCAAAAAGAAAAGTGAAACTAAAGAGCATGTAACATGATATTTGAGTAAATACAATATATACTAACTAAATCTTCGAAAATAAATGGTCACTGAATCATTTAAACCTGGATATAGAAATTTGACTGCTGAAAATGTTGGTCTCATTATGGGTGTATTGTGTGTTGCCAGGGACACCACTGTCCAGACACTGACCCTCCAGCCCACGGTCCGAGATGGGGTCATCATCTACGAGGACTCTCCATTGGTCAGAGCAGCCAAACATGGTCACATTCTGGTGGTGGACGAGGCAGACAAGGCGCCCACACATGTGACCTGTATACTGAAGACACTGGTGGAGTCAGGGGAGATGCATCTTGCTGACGGGAGGAGAATTGTCAGCGGTAATTGGCTTACTTTTCCTAACTGGTTTCAATTGCTTCTTTATTCTTACTGTAGCAGTTATCTATAGGAATCCCCTGGTGTATAAATAATGTTACTATGTTATTGAATAGACACATTGTTCCTATTTTTATTTCATTTTATGGATTGAAGTTTTCTCTGTTATACAGCTGACTCAGGGCTGCCACCATCAGACAACTTGATAGTCATCCATCCTAACTTCAGGATGATGGTACTTGCCAACAGACCAGGCTTTCCTTTCCTGGGAAATGACTTCTTTGGTGCTATGGGTGAGTAGATGTGTGTTTGGTGCTATGTAGGAGTAGCTGTTCAATTTGAGTTTATTTTAAGGTATCTGTTCTCTCATTTCTGTTACTTAAATATATTATCATCATCATCTTCTTCTTCTTCAGAGCCAACAAGTTTAACTGTAAGACAAAGGCCTCAGAATGCTTTTCCTAATAGATTCAGTCTATGACTTCCAGTTTTTTTTTTTTTTCTTTACTCGTCAAACTCATTCTTCCACCTCTTACAAGACTTTCTTTGTTTTCTGTGTTCCTGTTCTTGGTGCCCATTTTGTCACCGTGGCTTATTGCCATCTATCATATCGTATGTCTTAAAATGTTTGATACATATTTATCAGGGTATAACAGCTAGCATACAGAAGGGGCTAATGCAAAACATATGCAATTTCAGGTGATATATTCAGTTGCCATGGAGTCCACAATCCTGACATGGAGTCTGAGATGTCCATGTTGCGCCAGTACGGACCAGCGGTGCCTGACACCATTTTGAAGAAACTGGTCTTAGCGTTTGGTGAACTGCGGAGTCAAGCAGACCAGGGCCTAATAGCTTACCCGTACTCTACCAGAGAGGTGGTGAATATCGTCAAACATCTACAGGTGAGACTTTGTCATACATAGCTTCCCTTAACTCTAACTGAGTAGTGGTGACATCTGTAGATGAGATACAGACAAAGTATTTTTTATATAATTTACCCAGAATTGATATTATGTTTGATTTGTTTTATTCTGTTATCTTTTAACAGAACGAAATATGAATTACATTGGAAAAAAAGGTTTTTATAGATCAATTGTAAGAATATAACATTCTTATCTAGTTGAACTTGCTAATATGAGTTAAAAAAAGAGAAAAAGACAAGAAGCCTAATAAGTGCACCTGTTTTTTGTATTTTGTCAGACCAAAGTATGGCAAAATCTGTCTTCTTACTATTTAAAGAATACCAGTTTATATATTTAAAGCTGTGCACAGGAATAAATGACTGTAAAACATCATCTTCCAGAAATTCCCTGATGAGGGTGTTGCCAGCGTGGTGAGGAACGTGTTTGACTTTGACTCCTACAACCCCGAGATGAAGGAGACCATTGTGGAGACGCTGCACAAACATGGCATCCCAGTGGGTGCGCGGCCGGGAAATGTCAACCTGGCCAAAGAGTAAGAACTCTATGAAATGTACCACGTTTTGACTGTTTGTTTACGTAAAAATGTTTTGGGTCCAAATGGCTCACAGGACAGTTTCATTTCACCACAGGGATGTACAGGTTTGATATGTAACGGAGCCCCTCTGTTATCCCGGGTCCTCAGGGTCTTTGCCAGCAATTAAAAAATGAAGGGAGGGGGGGTCTTTTTCTGAAAAATTGGACCTTTTATCATGAAACCTGGTGTACCTAGATCAAATTTTACCCCTGACTGACCTTAATGCACAAAAAAGGGCAGTTCTTTCCTACCCCTAACTGGCTACATGCCTGACCCGTGTGTCATCACACATGTTATCTCTGGTGATAAGTCGTCTAGTAACTGGAGCTAATGTCTGGAGCAGAATGACTTTTGATACACAGACATTGTCTTAACAGACCTGGGAAATTTAGGATCATCTTTGTCCAAGACCTCCATCTTCAATTGTAACTGTTAAAGTAAATACAGTAATCATAAATTCTGGATGAAAAACACACAAACACAATACTACACACTATATGAGCTCTTATTTGAATGGAAATGATAAGATTTTATGAAGAAAAAATTAATTGATTATTATAAAACTAAAGCTTGTCTGGGTCCAGGAACTGTACATTGAAAATACATAAGTTGTTTTTAGCAAATGGACAGTAATACTTTTTTATCAGAAAATGCTTTTTTAAGTCCATCAATTTTCCTGTCACACACAGTGAAATAAGTGAAATAGAGTAAATAGTGAATGATATATAATTAAAGGTCTTCCTCTACAGTGTAACAAGGGTTAGAATAGTCAGCAGTAATATTTATAATGTGTGAATATTTTTTAATTAAAATGTCAAAGTACTGTGAGACTGTCTGTGTGAAACCAGTGTGCTCTTGGTGCACGGATTTTGTATAGATGAATTATTTATTGGTATCAATAAAGCCTTATCTCAAAGTAAAACAAGTGTTATGTTTTCTTATAGTTTCCCTCTGCCGCAGTTTGAGCTGGCGGCCAGCTGGAAGGTTGCATTCAAAGGGACCAGGAAGGGAAGTGGTCTGATTAGTTTACCCGTCAGTGCTAAACCTCTCTCTGTTAAGGTAAGATTACTCCCCCCCCCTCCTCCACCGAGCCTCATTGTGGCTGGCTTTTTACATGTGAAGAAGAGACTTGCATTCAAGGTGTGAAAATCATAAGTAATGAAAATATTTTAGGCATTACTAAAATCTGAATCTATCCCTTTTCCCATGGCACTCCAGTATATATCGGGCTGTTCGTCTTATGAAGGCCTTTTGCGGAAACTAAATGGCATTAAATCCTCCATGAAGCAAACTTTAATCCATTTTTGATACTTTTCAATTCTTGGACATCGATTGGTTTAAAAATTCACAGAAGTCAGACCAGTTTTGAAATTTTGGTCAAATTCATTCTTGTTTCTCACAACCATAAGCATGGACTTAAATATTGAAGTTTTTATTTTTGCTTGATATAAGATAACATATAGACATAGTTTTTTCATGACAGAATGATTGTCAGTGATATGACAAGTAGTTGTCATATATATCTTTGATATTTAAACAGTATATGTATGATAATCTTTAAATAGTTTCTGTATTTTATTCTCTTGTAGAAGAAAATGTTTCAGAATTCATATTTCCTGTAAGTAAAAGACCAAATAAAGAAAAAAACTACTTCTGGTCTAATAAACAGAAGTCAGAGCAAAGTTGTTATCACATTACAGAGTTCTGTAATGTTCAAAGTTTTAAGTCATATTACAGGGTCCTGTAAGGTTCAACATACAGTCCCACCTTTTAGATAAAGTAGAGACTCGGTCCAGTCATTTCAGTGAGCAGTCGGTGTACTGGCAGCTCCCTCTACAGGACGCTAACATCGTGGCAGATGTCGCAGTTACAAGAGGTAAAAATTAATACAAGGTTGACTGTGTGTGTGTAATCCAACTGTGTAAATGGAATCCTTCTGCCATCCTTTGCTCTTGTTTTTTTTTTTTTTTTTCAATGGGATAGTTTTCTAGTAGAAAGTCATTCATGTGCAGGTTGTATCTGGAGTTTTTTGGGCGAACTTATACATTACCTATATTTTGTATTAGTTTCTAATACTTGGCTCAAAGTAAAACCACATGCTTTTCATCTGATATGTAGATATCTATATGTGTGCAGAGAATGTTCAAAACCTGCCTTTTATTCTTGCGAACTTTATTTATTATTTTAAGATATTACATTTCAAAAACATGCAAAAACATCGAACGAAGATAATAAATATCTTTTGCAAAGCTGTCACCATATAGACATTTGAGGTGTGAAACAAATTCCTATACTTCAGTCCTGGCTGTACTTGTGTACAAATCTGTATTATACATGCAGATATTAAGTTTCCATTCAAAAGCTGAGACTCCTGTAGAAATCTACTTTGTTTACATAACCTGGCAATTATTTAAGGTGGAGTCCGTGACAGAAGGCAACAAGAGGATGTCATCCACATCGCCACAGCACGTCCCATCAAGCTGTACACCATGAAACCCTCCAGCAGGTACATCAGCTGTATAGACCTGTATGACCTGTTCCCCACCACCCGGGGCATGTACACCCCCAGGGTCAGGGTGGCCCCCCTGGGGGCGTCACTCTATGATACAGTGGTCTTGCATGAAGAGAAGGTAAGCTGAACAGAGATTTACAACCAAAAGGTAAAGCTTTCTTCTTCCTTTGTGGAGTCCATCACATTCATATTCTTTAGGTTTGTAAGGAGAGAATATTACCCATAAAATATGGTATATCCCTCCTTCCACCTGCACCATCCCCACCCCCTCAATTACACCCCCCATGCCCCAGGGTGACTTAATGTCATGATGTTACAAAGCCATGGTAAAAGAAATTACACAAAAGGATTGAGCAATTTATGAGGGCCTCACCAAAAGTGTCACCACAGTTATAAAAGTCTATGGTGAAAACTTGAGAAAATTGTCACTTAAAATTAATTAATGCCTGGATCTGACTTGGTCATATTACGTGGCAATCTTTTCAAAACTATCAAGAGGCCCATTTTCAAGTTTGATGAAATTTTCAAAGCCAAAAAATTTACATTTGCAGAGAATCTTATGAAAAAATTTCCAAGACTGACTAAATTTTCAAGTTGTTACCATAGCCTCTAAATCCTTTCTCAAGGCCAGGATATACGTGTAGTAATTCTTCCAGTTAGAACACAATCTGCTGTCTCACCTGACACAATCTGCCATCTCATGACAACAATGAACACAATGTCTATATTTCCATTCTTCCAGAGCAATGTATTACTGAGCATCAACACAGAGACGGGAGATGTGATGCGTCTGGCCATGGACTCTCTGCTGGAGACAGCAAGCCATAAACTGTTTGGACGCTCTGAACAGGTGAATTTATAGAATAGATTCACTGCTGGAGACAGCAAGTCAAACTGTTTAAATGCTTAGCACAGGTGAAATTATAAGAATGATGATGGATAGAGAAAGAACCTTTAAATAATGGAATTATGGTATTTTTTAGTACTAAAGCCATTTTGTCCACAGCAGTTGATCTGTATTCTCTCTCTCTCTCTCTCTCATCATGTATTATTCTATTCTATACAACAAATTCCCTTTTTGGGCAGATTAAATTATCTTACTACTTATCTTCTGTTCTCCAGGACATGTACACGCTGTGCAGAAGTCTCTCAGGAACTCCAGATGGTTTGCTCATCTTGTACAAATCTCGCAGGTACTTTGATATTTGGCAGTCATTTTCGAAGAATAGTTTCAGTTGCTGTAGTTATTGTGCACAGTTGAAATATGAAGGCAAATATCATGTGTTAATCATAAGATAATATATGATTAAAATTGACAATTAAGATTTCACGAAGGTGTGTACTGTGTTGTTATGTTGGTCTCTTTGTGTTTGAAGTTTGATTATGCCAGTCTTCAATACATGTATGTTGCTAGGAACCTTCCCCAATCTTGTTTATTATTATTTATTTATTTATTTATTTATTTATTTATTTATTTATTTCCATCAGAGTATTGAGGGCCATAATATGTTGCTGAGCACCTGTCAGAATCTTAGTTATTATTATTATTATTATTGTTATTATTATTATTATTATTATTATTATTATTATTAATTGCAGTCAGAGTATAGAGGTCCTCAATATGTTACTGGGCATATGTCACAGTATTGCTGTCCCCTTCAAGATAGGTGGTGTCCACCCTGTGGCCACTGACCAGTGGATGGTCACTGAATATGACAATAACAGGTGAGTGATACTAAGGCAGACAGAGAGAGAGAGAGAGAGAGAGAGGGAGAGAGGGAAGGGAGAAAGGGAAGGAGAGAGAGAGAGTAAAAAGAAGAACTGAATATGATACTATACCAGAAATTTGCTATAATTGTTGTCAAAGTAAAACAAGAAATAGTTTCTTTTAGGTTAAAGGCAAAATGTTCAAATAGTTTTTTAATTATTTTTCTTAGACTTGAACTAATACATATTTATGGCAAAATGAGTTGTGTTAGCATGTTCCTATTTCACATGATTTCTACAAATGTCTCCTCTTAGGAAATACATGTTGAGGAGTTCTGGAGAGGGAAGCAATACAGAGTACTTCCTGCACCCAGTCACCGAGGAGGACACAACTGCTGGTAACTATGGCAACTGCGTCTTAACAGCCAATGTTTGGGGCACACTAATGTTAGGATAGTTTTTTCTATGTGTATATTCAATATTGGTGCAATCTGTTACAAAATATTCAAAATTCTTTTAAAAATCTTAACAGCAGATTTAAAATGTTGACTGCTGGCCAGTAGATTGTTTTGTCACCAAGTCCAGTATTGGATCAATTTATTTTACAAACTATAGTTTTAACATACATAACAATCCAATGTAGACTTATAGTGCTCCAAAGATACAGAGATACAATTTGTTTTAATGACATTAATGATAATAATATTCTCTATCCTCATGCTGCATCATCACACTAAGAAATATTCAAAAAATGGATGAAAAGATTCGAACTTTTATTCTTTATATATGTATATTTTAATATACATATATAAAGAATAAAAGTATATAAAAGTATATAAGTAAGGGGGGATTGTCTAGTGGGAATTGTCCTGATACCTCATGTTAGTATTGTAATCTCTGCTCTGGTATCCACAGGTGTCGGAAGATTAGAACTGATGTCTACTAGTCCACTGTCAGAGGCCAGTTTGAGTGCTGTCCTAGGGACGAGTATCAGCTCTGAGAATAGAGTCCTAGCTACTCCTGCCACCTATGCTTCTGTGGCAGTAGGACTGCCAGATCTTCATGTAAGTAAATCGTATCAGCTCTGAGAACATAGTCCTAGCTACAATTGCCACCTATGCTTCTGTTGCAGTGGGATGGCCAGATCTTCATGGCAGAGTGCAATAAAGTTGTATACAAAGAATTGCAAAGATAGACATTTGGCTTAATCTTTTTTTTTGTCTTTAATTGTTTTCTTTTGCACTAAGACAGCAGGAGTCGTGGTATGTTATATATTTCTTTGATATTTTTGTAGCACTAATTATGTACATATTCAGAAAATCTTATATTAATACATATTTTACAGTCTATTGAAGTATACAGTGCCCCAAGACAACCCTCCACCAAGGCAGAGAGAGAGATTGGGGGAGACTTCATGCTTCAGTTGCTGTCCAAGCCTCCCACTCCTAATGCTGACTCCAAGATAGCCTACCTACCAGTGTGTGGCCAGGTGGTCCGCAGCATGCAGTACTGGCAGGTGCCCAAAGAGGCAATACCTGAAGGTGAGTGGTGACTGGTGAAAATAGTGAAGGCTTACGGTACACACTCCTTTATCACACCTGTTAACTTGTTGCTGAAAATGAGATTTGTTTGCCTGGAGACAGTAACTTTTGAAAATTTTGCCAAATTGCCCTTTATTTGACCAGTTGATTGATTTGGTTTTATTGGACTCTTAATGGATAATTTGGTATGGAAAAATTTTTTCTTGCCTTATAAACAAAATTTTTAGTCCATTTACTTCAGTAAAATAGAAGTTTCATAATTAGCTGAGACTCAAGAGTAGTTACAGTATGGTTGTGTTTTCTATGATATCAGGTTCCACCCAACAGATGGTCAGTGGTTATCTGGAAGTCACAGATCCTGTCAACCATGTGCTAAGATATATACCTGTACCAAGGTAAGTGTCACCTGGAAATCACAGACCCTGTCAACCATGTGCTCAGATATATACCTGTACCAAGGTAAGTGTCACCTGGAAATCACAGACCCTTTCAACCATGTGCTCAGATATATAGCTGTACCAAGGTAAGTGTCACCTGGAAGTCGCAGATCCTGTCAACCATGTGTTCAGATATATAGCTGTACCAAGGTAAGTGTCACCAGGAAGTCACAGACCCTGTCAACCATGTGCTCAGATATATACCTGTACCAAGGTAAGTGTCACCAGGAAGTCACAGATCCTGTCAACCATGTGTTCAGATATATACCTGTACCAAGGTAAGTGTCACCAGGAAGTCACAGACCCTGTCAACCATGTGCTCAGATATATACCTGTACCAAGGTAAGTGTCACTAGGAAGTCACAGACCCTGTCAACCACGTGCTCAGAAGGAGAGGGAAAAGGGAGAGAGAGAAAGAGAAGTAGTGAATACTGCTAGATTAGAGTAGATGGGACAGAAAGCCTTCCAAGAGAAGTACTATGAACTTTTGACAAGAAGGGAATTTTTTCTCAGGCTGCAATTTGTAGTGTTTTTCACTGAACTCTCATGTTGGTCCCTAACTGGTTGCAACTCTATATGTATACATGTGGTTTGCATTTCTCTTGTAGGCCCTCCATGAACTCTCTGCAGTACTACCCCTGGTCTGATGTCGACATTGTCATGGCAGCCATGAGTAATGATGGCCTGGTAACTGTGGACCTGACAGGGATCGTACGTCTTTGGGAGACTGCCCCTGCTCAGTTAGCGAGATCCTTGGATCAGTGGAGGAAGATGATTGGCTCAGGAGAGGGAAGGAACTTGCAGGTGATTGGCTGTTCATATAATTTTTAATTTGCCAGATAGTAAGTATGTGTAGCTTGCAGTGGAAAACCCAGTATCTTGCAGTATTTGTTTCTCACCCAAAATTTGCTGCACAGCAATCAGTGAGACACAATCTTCACAATGTTCTTCTGATAATAACTTTGTCTCGTTTGTGAAGAATCACAAGCTATTGAATAAAACCGCCATTAAAATATCAACCATTTGATGACAATTTTCACACCAACGAATAATATATAAACACCAGAAAGAATTGTGAATGCTCTTTTGTGAATCATTTTTAATCAGTTGGTATGAAAGGAATAAGTCTGAAGTCAAAGTACTTTTTGAAGTCCCTAATAATAAGTTGAAATCCCTAATAATATATATCTTTTCAGATTACCCGTGAACGTGACAGTGGTAAAGATGTCGAGGGCCCAAAACATGGCAAGGTGGACCCTAAAAATGCACCCCATGTTGGTGGAAACACTTGGGCAGGAGGGACTGGTAAGTGCCAGGATGTGGATGTACAAATTGTTAACATATTCGACAGGTGTTCAGTCATTGGTTATAAACTAATACAGAAGATTGTGTTAGGTGTGACAGGACACTGGTTATAAGTTACCAGAGAAGATTATTTTAGTTGTGACAGAACATTGGTTCTAAGTTAGGATAGAAGATTGTGTCAGGTAAGACAGGACACTGATTACAAGTTACCAGGGAAGAATGTTTTTTGTTAGAAGACATTGGTTATAATTTACCAGAGAATATTGCGTTAGTTGTGACAGATGGCTGTGACAGCATCACAATTTGTTTCAGGTGGGAGAGACACGGCTGGGCTGGGAGGGAAAGGTGGCCCATACAGACTGGATGCTGGCCACGATGTTTACCAGATCTCAGAGGAGGAGAAGGAAGCTGTCCCTGAGGAAGTAAAGAGGGCTGCCAGAGAAATGGGACAGAAAGCCTTCCAAGAGAGGTACTCAGAACCTTTGAAAAGAAAGGATATTTTTTCTCATGCATCAAAATTGGTAGTGTTTTTAAAAATCTTGCTGTACATATTACATTTCAGCTATTATGCTGCGTGACCTACCTTGAAAAATGTCTAAATGCCTTTTGCCTCTTTTACCTTCCATATTGTACTTTAAACTAACTCTTGTTTGTTTTTTTTTTTAATTATGCTTTCCATATATTTATGTCTAACCTTTTTTAACTCTGCATGCTATGTGAAGTATAAATACAAAGAACCTCAGAACATAAAAAAGGTTCGAATGAATGGAAAACAACACCCCTTACACCTCCAATTCCACAGCCTCATAGGTCTGTCATCACTGGATGAAAAGTAAGATCAAAATTAAATATACTTCTACTGAATGATCTTTAAGTTATGCTGGGACAATAGAATTATTCCAGTACAGTTGCAGTAGGAAGAACTGGTACTTATGACTAATGTGTGCTGTTACAGGCTTAGAGAAATTCAGATGAGTGAATATGATGCCAAGTTTTATGAAGGCTACAGCAAGGCAGTGAGAAAGCAAGTGCAGTCTCTCAGGGTTGTCCTGGATAGTTTGCAGGTAATGTGACTCTTAGATATTGGACAGCATCATCTGCTGGTAATTTTAGATACCCAAAAATTAGTCACATTGAAAAGTTTGCATTAGTCCTTTTGAAGTCAGTATCTGTTAGTTGTAATTCTAAAGTGCCAGGGTCTCTCCCACATTAGCCACATTTTACTGATGGTGGTAGTATTTTTTCTAATTGCATTGCTTTTTTTCTAATTGTATTCCATATTGCAGACTGTTGTCTCACCTAACACAATTACATTGTTGTTTCTGTGTCTCACCCAACACAATCACAATGCTGTTCCTCTGTTTTAGGCCAAAGGCAAGGAGCGCCAGTGGTTGAAGAACCAGACTTACGGAGATCTAGATGATGCCAAGCTGATAGAGGGTCTGACAGGAGAGAGGTCCATATATAAGAGGAGAGGAGAGAAGGAGCCAGAGGTAAGGAGCCAGTCTGTACGACTATGTGTGTGTGTGTGTGTGTGTGTGTGTGTGTGTGTGTGTGTGTGTGTGCATGCATGCATGTGTGTGTGCGCACGCGCGTGTGAGGTGTTTTTGTGTGAGAGTTTGAAAGTGTGCATGTGTGTTGGTGTGTGTGTGAGCATGTCAATGTGTATGCAACTCTTTGTGTGTTCCTGTGTGCGTATGTGTATGCATGTGCATGTGTGTGAGTGTTTATGTAGCTGTAAAACAGCAACTTAATTTAAATATCTCCCTAAATGTCATGATAATAAATATTGAGTGTTGTTATTATCACAGCAAGGGAGTCCCCAGCAGAAGCCAAAGCGTCTCAAGTTAGTGGTGGATGTGTCAGGCAGCATGTACAGGTTTGACGGCCATGATGGCAGACTGGACAGAGAGATGGAGGCTGTTACCATGGTGATGGAGGCCTTTGAGGGTTATGAACATAAGTTCAAGGTCAGGTCACTTTCTATTATGACCAGAATTGCATGATTTATGCTTTTAAGTTAATGATTTATACTTTTTAATTAAAATTGTAAATATATGTTTCTTCATAGATTGAATTATTTGATTATTGATATAGCTTTTTTATATCCACAGTAAAGTGAAACAAGAATTAGATATTTCATTCAAAGATACTTCTGTATGTGATATATTATCAGATGAATTTCAAAAGGTTCTTCTCAGCATTTCAGTATGATATGTCAAGAGGTCAATAGTTCTATATCAATTATGATTTATGTTTCAGTATGATATAGTGGGTCATTCAGGAGATGGGTACAACATCCAGTTTATGTCAGGAGGAAGGGTACCAGCCAATAACAAGCAAAGACTGGACATTCTGAAGGTAAAACATACAGGTTTTTGATATATGTCAAAGAGAATTAGTTTTCACACACACACACACATGCACTCTGTCTTAGCTGCTTTATTCCTGTTGTAGTTAATATTCCATACTGATACTGATGATGTTGTTGCATTTGACAAAAAAAATAGTCTGTTTATATAAGATGTTCACATGTGCAATGCATTTTGTTTGTAGAAGAAAGTGGCTGTATGCTTTATTTTGTTTGCAGACAATGGTGGCTCACTCCCAGTTCTGTATTAGTGGAGATCACACACTGGAGGCAACAAAACACGCCATCGAGACGCTGGCCGAGGAAGAGGCTGATGAACACTTTGTGATTGTTCTCAGCGACGCCAACCTAGGGCGTTATGGGATAGGCCCAAAGAGTTTTACAAATGTCTTAATGTCGGATGATAAAGTGAACACGTTTGCCATCTTCATTGGTTCCCTTGGTGACCAGGCACAAAGGTTGGCAGCTTTTTTATAACTGATATTATAATGGAATGTAGATTATCATGTCAATTGCAGAAAAGCAGAAATAGCAGTGATAGTTTTCATTAAGTTGTTGAATTTGTGAAAAAACGTGGAGGTGAAATAAAAGCAGAATGTAGGTAATATTGACTATATTCATAATCCCAAAGATCATCCTTTCATGATGTAACGATCACAAAGATATATAGTTACACCTAGAAACATACCCCAACCATGATGAATATTCCTATGTATAGAACAATGAAATAATATTGGGTGCACAAGGTATAATGTTTTAACATAAAATCTGAGAAGACACCCAGCAGATTCCACAAATGATTACATTTTTTTATTTCTTTCTTTATTGTACCACCAGCGTTAGCGCTGGCGGTACACGTGGTTTTAGTCCCGTCCGGTCCGTTCCGCCGGCTCCGCCGGCTCCGTGGCCATGTTACCGTTACCGCTTCTCCTTCTAGACGGTAAGGGCCCCCATACTCATCTCTTGGATTTAGGTCACCTATAATCTCAACTCGTTCCATGTAAAATTTGGGCTTTGTCGGTATTGGGGTCTAGGTGTGGCATTCATTGCAATGCACCCTTGTCCAAAAATGGCAAAATTAAATGCTAATTATCTACCCTACGGAAGGAATTATGGGAAAAATTTCTACAGA